AGCATTTGTGGTTGATGAGTTATAGCCGTTCAAAGGTAACCAATCACACTTGCGTTTCTTTTGGTAGCCACTGTATATTAGTTAAAAATCACTTTATATCTTAATACTTCTATATCTTTTTAATAGTATGCATGATCATATATCCTCAATCTCTAGAAGACGCTTAGTATTTCATAATCATAATCAAAATTCTGTATCAATCTGAAGTGAAAGCAGTAGAAGTACTAGGCAAAGTATTTTTAGAAAAAATGTTGAAAGAACTATCAACAGAAGTTAAAGTCCTAATCAAAGCTTTATTTGAAGTAGAAACAACAGACATGAAAGAAGTTTAAATAGGTATATTAGAAGTAAAAATTTTAAATACAGTTGTAATTCTGATCAAAGTATTAGAAATATAAGGAGTTCCAATAGAATTCTAAATGTAACTAAAATTTATAACAAAAGTGATAGGAATAGAAGTGACAGGATTAGAAGTCTCAATAAAAATCCAAGTCCTAATCAAAATATCAGGAATATAAGAAGCTCAAATAGAACTCTAATTATAACTAAAAGTAATAGAAATATAAGAAATGACAAACGTAAAAGAAGTTTGAGTAGGAGTTCAAATAAAAGTACTAGAAATTCATACACTAAAACTTCTGAAAGAAGTAAGGGTAGTGACATTTATTACCTAATAAAATTTTATTATTAGCATCTACCCTCTCACTCTTAAATAAGATATTCTGATCACGTATATATAGATCATCTGCCTTTTATAGAATCATACATCAGTGAAAGAAATAAATTAAAAAATTTTATTATTGAATGGCTTAAATATTTCAGTGTATTATAAATAAATGTTTTAAAATCTAAAATTGTGTTCTAAAAATCAAAGTATTCTATAATCATATTAGTGTTCTATCAATCATACACTGATAATCATGTGAGATGTGTCTTATGATGATCACATTATTACAGAAAAAAGTTTTTCACATCTACAAAAACTAGTTTCAGATCTTCATAATATATTCAATTTTTTTAACACTTTCACTGCAAAACCTTTTTCAAAAAAAAGCATTAATATTGTATTATAGTAAAATGAATCGTCAATCCCTTTTTTTAGCCCCTAAGTTTAACAAGAAACTAATATATAAGTTACTAGCAAATAAGTATCAGGATTTCACAAATGCTTATATATATAGTATTATAGTTAAGACAGAAAGTGATACTCCTAACTGTGTTAAAGTTTATCGCGAATTTGCACAAGAATGGAACAAGATCAAATTTAAGAATGAAACAGAAATTGATGATATTATTAGAAATTACCTTGATATACCATTTGATCTATATAATATACAACTTTGAGACCAAGACATCCTGTACCTAAAGAAAATCCCATTTTGGCTTCTCTTATTATTTATTCAGTGGATTCTGTATCAGAAATCCCTGTTAATGCATCGACTCAAAAAAAGATAGCAAATGAAATAGCAACAGCTAAGAAGAACCTTACCAAATTTGAACAAATCTATAATATTACGACTGATCCTCAATTTAGCATAAAATGTATATAAAGATAGAGGATCTCTAAGCTAAAATTAAATCTAATAAAGAAGAATTACTAAGTTACAAAAGAATGCAAGTTATACTTGAAAATGTAAAGAAAAAAAAGAAAAATATTTATCAAAAATCAGAAAGTGATACAGTATGATAAACCCGATTGTTTTTCACTTCTTTTCAAGTATCTGAATTTACATGACTATATCCATAATTCAATCGAGTTTAGGATAGCAGATGAAAAAAGAAGAAAAGAAATAATTAAAGTCTGAATAATCAAAAATCTGCTTAAGAATCTTGAAGAAAACTACAATGTTTATATGGTGAGAACAACACTAAACAATTACCTGCTACCTCGACAAACAAATTTAATTGCTGCAAAGGCATATCATCATCTAGCATGGGTTGCAGTAACCAGAATTTTATGCACAAAAATATGAGATTATCCCGACAGACACTATTACCTTGCATCTATTAAATATGCAAAGAAATTTGCTTCACTATTTGCTGATGTGAGTGTTTTTATTTCTCAAGATGATAAAGTGAAGATTGGTCTAGATATACCTACAGTAGGATAGACATTTCAAATGTTACAATCAGTAAATGAATCTATGAGCATAGTGGATTATGATTTTCCTGCAGGATTTTAACAAAAGCTAATTTCATTAGTTATTTTATGATAAAACTGAATAAAAAAAATGATGATCTATGAACAGGACAGTTTGCTATCTTTGTATGTCATCAGTGGTCCTTTAATACATCCTCACTTACGTATATAGAAGATCTAGAATATCTCACCTAAGATTTCCAATATGATGATGTACTGAAGTTTAATGGAGAAATCTGACTAATCTAGATGCTATTAATCAACAGAAGACTGGATGAAAACCCAAGGCATCTAAAAAACATAAAAGTTTATTGTTAGCTCTTTAAAAAATTCAACCTGGATTACCTGAGCGTACGAATGCATATCTCAGGATAATTTAAGTATAATTCTGTAAAAAGAGAAATAATGACGCTATCTGACAAGTTGACAGGTATTACACTGCTAATAAATCACTTTAGAGTGCACTTAAACATGCAAGGCAAAGTGATAAATCCGGAATTGGCTCTTCAAAATTTCAAATATGTCATAGAGGCATTTTGTGATATTTGGAATCACAATTTGATCTTTAGAAAACGTGTAGATACCAAGTATATTGAAGAGTTCAAAAATTCATTCAAAAATCTGCAGTTTGAGAGTACAGATAAAGAGAAAGCAGAAGAATTGAAAAAATAAGAAAAATGAAAGAAACAAAAGAAGGAAAAAACAATTGACTTAACTGAATGTTTTGTACCATGGTTATAGATTGAAAACTATTGCAATTTATGCCAGTATTCTTTTGATATCAAACGATGCACAAATATAAGCTGCTGTGAATCACCTCATGTAAAAGAAGCTATGGAATTCCTTCAAGTAAATAATAGTTTTTTGCCTCCTATCACAAAAGTAAAGGATGGATATTATACGAATTCAGTACATCTTCTCAAGTATTATAATTGTTTAAAAGTTTCTGGATATAATTCACACTATCCATCAATTAATAGAACAACTTATTCACGTCTTTGCTGCTCTAAATATAACAAATACTTTCTAACTCTCACCTTTTTGACAAATCACAAGTGAATAAAGCATTCTCATGAACGATCTAAAGAAAAATCTAAAAGTCAAATTAAGCAAAATTTTTTGACTATAGACGATTTTTCGCTTCTTTCTTCACAACAAAGAGAGAAAATTCTTTTATTAAATAAAAGATCTTTAAAAGAATATTTTTCAGATAATAAATAAATGTCTTTATATATATATATGCGTAAATTCTAAATATATGCATTCTAAATTTTTGTATTCTAAATATATATACTCTAAATATATGCATTCTAAATATGTGCATTTTAAATATAATGCATTTTAAATGTACAGATTATCTAAATGATGCATGTTAATAAATTTGCTAAGCCACAGTTATCGATAATCACGTGACTAATTTATTACATAATGAATAACTATATCACATGATAGATTTTAATATGTATAACCTAAGAATTTCACTTACTCTCACCCCCTAAAAATTACTTAATAAATGTTATTGTCCTAATAGAAGCATAAGTTCTAATAGGAATAATGATCAAGATTTGAAAAGGAATGGTAATCTGTCAATTGAATATTAATAATAGAATAATAAATTATATTTATTAATTTATAATATTACAATAGTTATTAGTTTAATTTAATCGACCCTAAATTATTTGATCAAAGAAATTCAAGGTCTAAAAAGGCAATGATCAGAATACGATATTAATTGAGAATCTTCTTTAAAACTATATAGATGAAACTCACATGAAGATTTTGAAGACATAACTGCTGATTAATATAAGTCTTTTAGAGTATATATATATATAACAAATGTTTTCTCTTTGCATTTAAACAATTCAGAACTAATGATTTTTTACCATCAGTTAGGATGAAGTGGTTCAAATACTTTATGGTTTTGATGATCTGTTATTTTTTGATCATATTAAATTATAGAATGAAATATTATATCATATTTACAGAAATATAATGCTCATTATTAATAAAAGTCAAAGAATTAGATATAATCAAGTTGAGCTCAAATATATCCTATAACAATTACATTAGTACAGGTGAGAAAGGTAACAGATTTTGCAAAATATTGATAAAGTAAAACTTGATAAAAAATGTAAAGAAACAAATTCAAAATTATCTGATATAAGTATCAATAATTTTTGAATGTTATATTAGATTACTCATCATAAGTCTTTTTATTCTATTTTAATCTATTTGAAAGATAAAAACATAGAATTGAGCATATATATAATACTATTTTATTTAGACAAAGTATCTGAAACAGATAAAGAAAATGTGTAAGATAAAGTTGCTTAATATATTCGTCTGTAAAATAAAAGTAATACAGATATGCATATGATTCATATGTATAATAAGCTATAAAGATTCCAAAAGGTATTATAAAAGATATTTATTATACTTATTTATTTTTATTTACCTATATATTTTTATTTTATATAAGTTAAAAAGCTACTTCGACATACAGATAAAGTTGGCAAAAATATTCAACATATCAAAATTTAAAGAAAATGATAGTATAATAATAATGTATTTAAAAATAATACAAAACTATCACGTAAAGCTTCTAGATAGTATTAGTAATAATTCATTTACATCACTAAATGACTGTATCAGTTAATATCACTAATGATCACTAGGAAAATTATGATCATTATTTTTACTGATTTCACTGCTATTACAGTTATCATTATGTTATTTATTTTCTTTATTATTATGTTTATCATTATTTTATTTATTATATTTATTTTCATAGTTATATTTACTTTCACTATTATATTTATTATCTCTTTCTTTTAATTGTATTTTATATAAATATTCTGTATTGTTGTCTTGATAAACTAACAAGTCTCTATCATATAATTAATAAAGTATAATCTTAATAATATAAAAACTATAACTTTGTCAATATCTATTTTCTTAAAATATAAATCATCAATAAAGATGACCTAACCCTTAAACTTAAATAAAATTCGTGTTTATTTCTTTCATAATTTATAATTTAAACTCTTTATTAGTAAATAAGCTTTATTATTCTAATGATGTGAAGTTTAGGCTTAACAATGGATAATATTATTCTTATTTGAAGAAGATAAAAAAAACAATGAGAGGAAAATGTCAGATGAGAGTCATGAATAATTAATTTAGCTAGAAATA